CAGCACCCCGATTTGCAATCATCTCTTCAACCACGGTAGATTTTCCAGTTCCAGCCTGGCCAGTTATTAATAAGTTATGCCCTTTGGAAGCCACACTTACAATTCATGCTTAACCTAGAGTTAAAACGCTGACCTTCACATTTTTATCCCATTGCAAACTATACATACACAACTCAGTACCAGCTATGTCAAACATCTCGCAATTGTAAGCGACCACCCAAAATGTCAAGTCCAGGTGGTTGTCGCTTATGAGAGCTTAGCATATTGGGTCAAAACTGCAGAGACTTAACCATGTTTTAAATGACTTATTCCTGTGAAAAGTCAATTTTGGGGAAAAAACAGCAGTTACTTCACATTGAGAAAATTTCCATCTCTAGTACTACCCAGCACGTCATGCTGCATGCTTGAAACGTTACATTTGTGAGTTGTTTGATATTCATTACAAGTTTAATTAAATAATATGCAGTAAAAATGTACATTTTAATTTTACCCTGATATAACGATATTTTCGGTAATTTTGCGGCTATATCATAATATCGGGAGTCTTGATATATACCTGGATATAACAATATAATTTCACTGCTCCCTTGGCATATCATTATATCGGGGTTGCACTGTAAAACAATCGACTGGCAAGAAAGCCACCCTAAAAGATATCGCTAACATGAAGCAAAAACACAAGACAAGATATAAACTAAAACGACCTAGACAGCATTAATGCCTACGTTCAGCAACAGCAGAAATCCATTTATGAACTTATCATTGACAAGGAACACAATTTCAAGGGCCTCTCCTACCAAGACGAGTACATGAAAAATATGCACCACAAATTTCCACAGCTAATTCTTGTGTTCACAACATACATGCATTTGGAACTAAAAATGCCTGTGTATCTTGTTCTCTGTATTGATGGTGATGGCTTAGGCGAGACTGTCAGTATGTTTATCCTCAACAAGGAAACAAATGTGGTAATTGAAGCAGCTGTTGGTGTTTTCAAGAAATTGAATCCCGCTTGTAATGAAAAAAAGGTGTTATGTCTGACAAGTATTCTACAGAATGGGAAGTCTTTACCAACTGCTTTCCAGGTGCTTCTTTGAATATCGGCCTGTTGCACACAATGCATCCATTTTGGAGAGCAAAAAAAAAGAGGAACAACAACAGCCAAAAAACATCGATGTCTGGAGGTCCTGACTGGTCAGGCACATTCCAAATCACCAGAAGAATATGACAAGCATTTACATGTACAGACACTGGATAACATCACTTTGAATGTAAAGGCATTCATTGAACCAAACTGCAGGGTGCACCAAAACCTATGTCCGATTGTCCGGGACAAGTAGAAATTTAGTTCAACATGCAAATCCTAAACATGACTTGTCCATGGGACAAGCACATTTCTGATGTCTAAACAACTACAGAAACAGAGGAAAATTGACTTCAAGTTGCAGTAGAATTGAGATATGTCTAACAGTAATAACAGCAAACCTTTAACTTGACAAAATAAGTGTAAAGATTCCTATAAATTTTGCTATTCTACTGCCATTCATTTGTTTCGGTGACCTCATCTGGCCTTAGTAACCAGGCCTGTTAAGACTAATCCCCAGGCTCTAAATTCGAGTCAATAATGGCAGAATCTCAAA